AGTGATACTGCCTTGGCAACACAAGAAGGGGTCACTATGAGTCAGGGCCAACTTGATGGCACGTAACAACAACAACAACAAATACCTACCTAGGGCGCTCTGGTGGTGTAGTGCCTAAGGCACCTGACCGCTAACCAGAAGGCTGCTGGTTCAAATCCACCAGCCACTTCGTGGAAGAAAGGTTAGACAATCTACTTCCGTAGAGATAACACCTCAGAAACCCAAAGAGGGGTCGCTATGAGTCAGATCCAACTCTACAGCCCTGGTAGGCCAGTGGTTAATTTTCAAAAGGTTAGTGATTCACACCCACTAGCTCTAAAGGAGAAAGATGTGGCAGTCTGCTTCCCTAAGGATTTACAGCTTTAGAAACCCTGTACGGTAGTTCTACCCTGTCCTATAGAGTCCCTATGAATTGGAATCAACTCAATGGCAGTGGGTTTCGTATGAAAAGCTACTTAGGAGTCCTGGTGGCACAGTGTTAAAAAGCACTCGACTGCTAACCAAAAGGTCAGTGGTTCGAACCCACCAGCAGCTCTGTGAGAGAAAGATGTGGCAGCCCACTTCTGTAAAGATCTGCAAGCTTGGAAGCCCTATGGGGCAGTTCTACTGTGTCCAAAAGGGTCACTATGAGTCAGAATTGACTCAGCAGTGGTTTGGTTAGGTATTAATACCTATCTCCTCCTTAGTGAGAAAATGAGAGATAACAATCTGGGGCAGGCTATGAGCAATCAAAAGTTGCTAATTAAACACAGAATGTCATTACTTGCTCCACTATTTTTGTGGGAGAAAAATCCCATGTGTGAGAGGGTGAAAGGAGCCCTGGTGGCACAATGGTTAAGTGCTCAACTGCTAGCCAAAAGGTTAGTGGTTCAAATCTACCCAGCAGACCTGGTGATCTGGTCCTGTAATGATTACAGCCTAGAAAAACCTGAGGCAGTTCTATTCTGTCACACGAGCTGGCTATGAGTCGCCATCACTGTGTCAACAACAACATGAGAGGGTGAAGTGAGATA